GATACGTGACTTGCTCAATGAAGTTTCAATTTATCAGCCTCCCAGGGCTTGTGATTCAGATGTACAGTTTAGCAGAAATGCAGATTATTACATCATGACCTTTTGCCTAGAATCCGAAGGCCAAATTTGCAGCTATTGTTTAGGAGGTTGAGGGAGTTAGAGCCCAGCTATCAGGCCCGGATGTGAGTCTCTTGTGGCTAGAAGCTGCTAATGCAGCTGATAAGTTAAGCAGAACCTTGAGCAGTGGTTCCCAGCTTTCCTTAGTCTAGGGACCCTGCTTTTTAAAGATGCATTAATTAACTACGTATAGTCAACTAACGATCCAACGTAACTGTGAAATAAACATATTTTGGAAGTCATAACAATATTGATATACATTTAAAAACGGAGAAGAATATATACAGGAAGACGTTTTGTTTCTGTAGCATACAGCTAGTACTTGATGCACATGTGGATTCAGGCACAACTCTCAGTAATTCCTGTGTTCAACAGAGCTTCAGAGTCCTGGGAACCAGGAGATCTTTGGAAAGTCCAGAGAGGCAGGTCAGGGGAGCATGCAGCAGCAGATATGAAAAGTAAAGTGTTGGGAACAGGTCCAGGAGGTGCCTTGTAATTCTAGTGAGTGGCTTTGCTGCTGGAAGACTGAAGTTAGAAATGAGATGGAGGAATGTGGTGGCTGAACCATGCAATTGAGGGGTCCGAATTATGATTGAGTGTTAGTGTTGCTGACAACGGGATTGGGAGCAAGCGGATAAGATGTGTCAGGTGCCAAATACATTAGGCCAACATCAGGCTGAGAGGGGTGATATCCACAGTGGTGATCTGAGGACAGGAGGGGTGATATCCACAGTGGTGATCTGAGGACAGGAGGGGTGATATCCACATTGGTGATCCGAGGACAGCGTGGTTTTCTGTTGTTGATAGAAAGTATCCTTGACATCTGTTCACAGCCCCTTCACTAATAAACTGGATACGTGTCTACTGCAGCATTGTTTATTGAGAGAGGGAGAGAGAGCGAGAGAGAGAAAGTAAACAACCTAAATGACAAAGACTGGGAGAATGAAGAACACAATGGTTCATTCCTTTGATGGAACTGGGCAGTCATTAAAAACTGTAACTGGGGACACAAAAATAAATGTGGAAGATCTATTTGTTTAATTAAATAAGTATTTATTGAGCTCCTAGAACTAGAACGGCCAATCATCATTCTAGGTACTAAGGGTGTAAGGAACAAAAGAGATGAAATGCGGTTAACTAGCTGGGGTGTAAGGATAGGAGTTGTATATACAAATAGATGGTCAAATGCAGTCTATCAGGTGGTGATAATTATCGTGGAGAAAAATAAAGCAGTATAAGGGGGGGTGGAAAGAGAGGAGGAGTTACTATTTTACATAGGGTGGTCAGAGAATGCTTGTCTAATGAGGCGAGTTTTCAACAAAGATCAAAAGGAAGAGACGGATGAGGACAAGAAGCTGTCTGGGGACAGGGTGTTCCAGATGGAGGGGGCAGCAAGTGTAAAAGGCCATGGAGGCAGGAGGAGGATTCGTGTGTTCTAGGCACGTGGCTGAGTGGAGTGGGCTGGGGGAGAGTGACAGGAACAAAGTCAGAGGGGGGCCTGGGTGGAGTATGGGAGGTCGTGCAGCCAGTTGTGAGTTTTGGCTCTGAGTGAGATGGGAAGTCATCAGATGGTCTTGAGTAAAGGACAGAAAAGGTCTGACTTACAGGATTTTTTACAGGATCATTCTTCAGGGAAGACCAGGGTGGCAAACAGTGACCTGCAGGGACTGACTATATCTTGAGAGTAGAACTGACAGCACTTGCCAGTGCAGTAGATATGGGGTGTGAGAGATGTAGAGGACTCCAGTCTTTGCCCCACTGGAAAGGTAGAATTTCTATGAACTGAAGTGGGAAGGCCGTGGGAGGAGCAAGGGACGGTCAGGAGTTTGGGGACGGTTACCATTGTGTCAGAATATGCACCCGAAGGAGACTGACCTAGGACATTTGTTAGGTGGAACTTGAGGTGATTGATTTCTTTTTCACATTCTTGGTACCATTTTCATAGTGCTTTTACAGCCAAACCATGAATACAAATTTAATTTTCTAATATGGAAAAAATTAATTTACTTGAAAAGCCAAAAGATAGTTGAGTCCTTCTGGAGCAGTGCTTTCCCAGCTCTGTTCCTCAGACCCTGGAGTTTCTAAAAGGCTCTGAGGAGGACACTGAGGAGGTGAACCCTGGGACACTCCCACTTCTATTGGCACCTGCTTCAACCAGAACAATCCTACCCGTATCTGTTTTATATACTGGAGTTCTTTCTGAATTTCTTTTGGAAAAAACATTAAGGATCTACTAAAAATAACAAAGCAAGTTTAAAGAGCGTGGCTGTAGATTTAAATCATGTGATGACTTAAACTCATGTTGTCTTATCAGACTTGAAACCCAAACTAAGCAGAGTGACTCTTCATTAGAAATTTAAAAATGAATGTCAGCTTGAGTTAATGGCTTCGTTTTCCTGAGAATGTGACCAGGATTAGCTCTCTGCAGTGTCAGTTTCACTTGACCTCAAGAGGATGTGTTGAACTTGGCTTCTAATAAACCTTCCTGGTGTTATGCAGAAATCAGCGTGGAGGGTGCATACAAGATAACTCTGGGTTTTTAAATAGAAAAACTGCACTAGAATCAGTTCATCTTAATGTGGTTAGTAAGTGTGGCAGATTTCTGTAATATATTTTTTAATTCAAAACCACTCAGTCATCTTCAGGAATGTTTTTTCTTTCAGAATTATGTTGTAAAAGGGAGAATTTCAGACTGACATTCTATTTACTAGCTGTTTGAAAAGCGTTGAACTTTACTTATATTCAGCAACTGTTCTGCTTGTTTCCTGTTAAGCAATGTTAAACGGATAAGTGAGGGGGAAGATCATTTTTGCAGTTTAGTTGAGACATGTTTTTCACATTCGAATATCTAATCATAAGGGGTAATGAATAGTAAGTTAAGCTGTTTCTAAACTCTGTCCTCAGGGATGCGATGTATAGGATCTATAAGACTCATTTTGTGCTGTCAAAGAGCTTATTATCTAATAAGTCAGCATTAGTTTTAAATATTTTACAAACCTAGTACCTTAGTAAATCATCAAGGGGAGATACCCCTACTGCAGGAGTCATCACTGAAGCCTTCTCCACAGATGTAATACAGGTCCATAAACCCAGATCCACAAATCCAAAATCCAAAAGTTTTGAAAACCAAAAGATTTTTTTTCATATAATTCATGGAGGACCTATTTTGGAACTGGCCTTGAATATAGGTAGAAATTCATTAGGTAGAGAAAAACAGGAGAAAAAGGGAGAAAAACAGGCATTTCAGGTAGTTGTAATATCTTGAGGCACAGATTTGGGAAATGCCAAAAGTATTTATTTCAGCACTTCAGATCTAAGTGTGGAATGTGGTGAATATTTTGAGGTCTAAAGTTTCTTATACAAAATCCTTGAGCTCGGGTGTGCTTCAGAAGTCAGAAGCTTCTGGATTTAGAAAGGTCATGAAATACATACACCCCTACATTATGTTATACTCTCAGCAGAGTCCAGGGAATACCTGGAATGTAAGCAAACCATTTGTATTTGTGCAACACCAAGTGGGATCAATAAAGATAGTAAATAACCTCTTGTCAGTTCAGGTCAGGTTTTGCTAACAAATGAGCTATGAAAAAACATTTGGATTTTCAGAGGCTTGGGGGTTTTGGAATTGTGGTTAAGGGTTAGTTAATTTATGTGGATTGGACTGGTGGGGTACATCTGTACCAATTTATCGAGGTTCGTGAACGTCAAACTGAGACATTGAACCTCATCCACTAAATGTCCAAGAATCCCCCTGAGTTGTGGGGCTCAAGGGTGAGATTTTACAAAGGTGATGCTAGAGACACATGGAGTCTGACCGGGTTGTGCCCGTGTGTCCAAGAATGAAGTGCATGGGAGAAACTTTTTCCAAAGGAGGAATCGGGCTCAAGGGTGAGATTTTACAAAGGTGATGCTAGAGACACATGGAGTCTGACCGGGTTGTTCCCGTGGGTCCAAGAATGAAGTGCATGGGAGAAACTTTTTCCAAAGGGGAGTATTTCGGTACGATCTGGGAAGTGGTGGTGGGAAGTCGGCTGGAGAAGGTAGTGAAGAGGAGAGTCAAAGGCAACTCACGGGGCTGAGCTTGAGTCACTGAGAACAGAAAGGAGAAATCTGAAGGGAGGACCTGACCTTGTGGGGATGCTCATGATTTTAGCTTCAGATGTGATTTTAAAGTTTTGGGGGGAAAACTAAGTAAGCAATGTCAAGTGAGGCACTGGAAGTGACTGCAGATCTTGAGCCTCAAAAAGAAGCCAGGTCTAGAGGTGTACACTTAGGAATTATATAGAAAAAGATGAAAGAAATTTGGGGAAACCTTGTTAGTGTGGAGGAGCTAAGAAAGAAGATCAAGAAGAGTAGGTTGCAGAAATGGTAGAGAAATGGAGCCTTGGAAGCCAAGAGAGGAGAAAAGGAGGAGGAGGACATAGCAAGGCTGACCCTGGGCAAGGAGCAGGAAGACACTCTGATCATAAACTTGAGCAGGCAGAAGCTGGACCACTGACAGAGGAGGATGCAGAAAATTGGCATGACAAACCTGTGCCAAAAGACAAGGCAGGTGCAGTCGTGACTCATTTGGGAGCCAGACATAGTCTAATGAGAGCCCTTTGGGTCAGCATCTCCAATGCCAAAAGTCCTCTGGACCCACTCACGAGTGCTCATGCGGCTCTGAGCAGTTATCACAGGACCAGTGAGCATTTGGCTCCCAACGGTAGTGACAGTGACTGCCTCTCCCAGGGATCTGGGAGGTCTCTCTAGGGCAGGTGACAGCTAATGTGGCTCTTGCAGGATGATTAGGAGATCAGGCCGAGAGGGAGAGAAGTGCATTCTAGGCAGAAGGAACGATGTGACAGTTGCACAGAGATGCGGCAGACCAGGCCTGTCCAAATACAGTGAAACATGTGGTATGATGTAGTATGCATGGGGCCTGGGGGCGGGTGGGGAAAACCAGGACTGGGGAGATAGATTGGTGCCAGTTTGAGAAAAGCCTCCTGTGCACATCAAGCCCTTAGGACATGAACCTCCTGTAGGCAGCAGGTGATTCTAGGAGGCTTTTAAGCAACAATTTTGCGTTTTACAAAGACAGTTCTGGGACAGCGTGGGGTGGGGGAGACCAGTGCGGTCCTCTCACTGGCTACAGCAGCCAATACCATTTATTCATTCAACGTTTTTGCATCCAATGTCTATTTAAGTGCAAGCAACAATTTTGCGTTTTACAAAGACAGTTCTGGGACAGCGTGGGGTGGGGGAGACCAGTCCGGTCCTCTCACTGGCTACAGCAGCCAATACCATTTATTCATTCAACGTTTTTGCATCCAATGTCTATTTAAGTGTCTCTTTTGTACCAAGCACTCCATTTGTGATTTGTAGTTCTGCTAGTCTTCCTGCTTCATTGTCTTTATGGTCAACACATCCCCTAAACTTAAAAACTATTTAACTCAAAATATCTACCCTTAAGTAAAATGGTCTTGGCGAAGCTCTTTGTGAAATGCTACAGTAGATTGCAGTTTTCGTGCCTATATCATAAGCTTCTGTCTTTGTTGTATTTTTTATGGATGCCATTTTGTGATTTTAGGAATACAGAATGTTAGAGCCCAAAAGATCTTAGCTGTCATCTAGGCCAAATTCTTCCTTTTACACATAAGGGATTTCTGACCCCAAAAGTTGAAGCTAGTTAATTCCAGGGCTGGAACATGGGCTGTCTGGAAACCTGAGGTTCTTGCTTCTTGAGATGCAAAAGACAGTTATGCGTTAGGTGTGTACTCTGTTGTTGAGGAAAGACAAGCGGTATGACCTTTTTACTGCCTCAGATTTCTCTGCCTTCACCTGGCATTACTGCTCTCTCATAGTCCCACCTGTTTATTCTTTATTCACAGCTAGTCCTGTGATCGGTTCCTCTAGTGATCAGTAGGTGGTGAGAATAAGCTGCTCCAGCTCCTGAGAACATTAAATTTCATTGTCTAATGATGAACCTGGGCATAGCCCCACCTGCCCACTGAGGATAAACTTGTGAGGGTTGTAAAACCTTGTCAGTCCATAGCCTCTAGTCGAATGGACAGATGATGCACTAGTTATAGCCCTAAGAAGAAAAGTGTAGAAGTTTTTAGGTGCTTAACAGATGAGAGCTGAACCTCCCTCTCTGGGGCATGCCTGACAAAGTCTCTGAGTGGGTGTTCCTGGTTCACAGATGCCGGCTCAATCCGCAGTTTACAGACAGGCGTGGGAGAGCTTCATGGGGAAACCAGATTCTGGCATGGAAAGGACTACTGCAATTTTGTCTTCAAAGATTGGGTTCAACTTGATAAACCTTTTGCTGGTGAGTATCATGGTAGTGGGGTGCTGGTTATATTTTGTATTTTACTTGTGAGCATCTCAACAAGTATGCATTGTGCATGATCTCAATGTCTTGCTTTTTTTGTTGTTGTTCTTGTTTGTTTTTTTAAATTTGGTAAAACTTTGGAGACATGATTTAGTTATATACTTAAGGACTTTTCCTTATAGCTACAATAAGAAAAGAACATGAAATAGAGCTGACCTGTCTGAAACCTCTCCAAGTGTCCTATAAGCATATTATTGGGGTAATATTCTGTAATTCTCCAAAAGGGGGTAGTCCTCCTTTGTTCTTGTCTTTTCTGTTTATCATCTCTATTTTCTAGCATTAGAATAGCATATTTTTCAGATTATCATTGTGCTTATATGTCTAAGAGGAGACAGAGATGGCATGGCATATGTAGCCTGCCATTATTTCAACGGAATAAAAAAGAAAAATATAATATCAAATACAAGCCTTAGATAATCTGTACCAACTTGGCCTCTAGTGGTTATCTAATACTAAGTGAAATAGAAACATATTTGGGGAGGTGCATGACAGAGACTATGTCCCTCAATGTGAGATCCATTTTTCCCTTGACTATGAGAGGTGTTGTTCTACCCAAGTCAAGAAATATACACATAGTCGACATTAACACATTTCCTTTTATGTATCATAGTTGGGATCGGGGGCTTCTGTCCCCAGCACTGAATTTTTAGTGACTGATCTTTGCCCGGTGCACCTGGACAGATTTCATTGATAGGTACTCCACTCCCCGGATGCCCTGGCATGATATTGCCTCTGCGGTCCACGGGAAGGCAGCTCGTGACGTGGCGCGTCACTTCATCCAGCGCTGGAACTTCACGAAGGTACTTGGATGTTGTTATCATGATTCAATCCACATGAAGAGAGGTGGGCCTGGCCAGAGGAGAAACCCAGAGGGTTGGCAATAAGGGGCTGCTGTGGTACAGCTGTGCCACCCCTCTGTTCGTGAGTGGAATTGCACTGGGTTCATACCACTACAGGATCCTGAGAGTTGGTTCTGAGCAAAGCGAGTGGTGTGAGAAGGTGGAGCCATTCTCCTTTTCTCCAGGTTGTGTCCTCTTTAGGATACTTTCATTACCTGTAGGAACTTGACTTAACATTCATAAGTTAAGTGCATGTCATCTAGGTGTTATTAAGGTTCCACTTTATTTACTTGAAATGATAATGAGGCATTATTCTCCCTGATAATTTGGAATAAGGATTTAGTTTTATCAACAACCGAGAGTCTCACTTTATTTTTCATTCACATAAACATTATAAAAATTTAACAGAGGCTCTAATGGAGATATTTTTAACAAATTTAGGAAGAATGGGTGAATAAACAAAGAGATATTGCTTTTAACCTACTATACTGGCAAAGATTAAAAAAAACTGCTAATACTTGCAGTTGGGTTTGGGTTTTTTGTGCTCTTACACTCTGCCCCTGGGAGGATAAATTGGTATAACACCAATAAGTTTTTTAAAAAGCATACAACCTTTGACCTAGAAAAACTATTTCCAGGTATTCAAGTTAAAGAAATAATCCAATAACGTAATTTATTTTAACTTCCTCCTAATAATCCAAATAAAATCAGAAAGAACTGAAATGCTCATTAATTAAAATATATTAAACAAATTTTGATTCTTTTATACCATTTTACTGTGAAGTTATTAAAAACAATGATATAGTGCTATATTGCTATGGCAAGTTATCTACAACATAGTATAAAAATTGTTTATGAAACAGTAATCCCATTTTGCAATTATGTATTTCTATAACTATAGAGTATATTAATCTTTCTTTACAAATATAGAATAATACATGCTTACTACAAAAGGTAAAGAACAAAATATGAAAAATAGAAAACAAAAATAGATAATCGATAGCCCTTCACTTGTAAATGTCCATTGTTAACATTTTTCTTTTTCAAATGACCTTGAATTTCTTTTAAAATCACAAAATACAGAAGAATGGACCTCTTATGTGAATCATTTTTATCTGTTTTTCTTTATTTTAGATTATGAAACCAAAATATCGGTCCCTTTCTTATCCTTTTCTGCTTCCAAAGTCTCAAACAACAGCCCATGAGCTGAGATATCAAGTACCTGGGTCTGTCCATGCTAACGTACAGGTAAGTATCTTTTCCTTGTGACAAAGTGCTACTGGGGAACGTTACTGTTATTGGACTAAGTACCTATTACATTGGCTTCAGATTTTTCAATAGGACAACTTTTCCAAAGCAATCTGAATAGATCTTTTAAAATTTAGTTTTATATTTCCTATATTAAATGGATTCAATTCACTGTTTTTTCAAAACTCTTTTATAAATAGAATAAAGTCATGTCCTCAAAAAAGGCCACAGTCAAGGAAAATCTATTCCTGTAATTCCTTCTGAAGTGAACCTAGCAACATGACACACAGTGAACCTGGGATTGATACTGCTTAATCACCAGGAATGTGGCTGGAATTTAGCATCTAGAAAGCTAGTTATAGTTTGATCTAATTTTAGTTCTTAATTAACCAAATAGCTTTTAGAGGCTCTTTTAAGGGAATAGGGAATTTGCTTAATAGAGTTACAAAATTTTACGACATCCAATCCAACCATCTCAATTTACAAATAAAAAAATCCAGGCTCAGTTGGGCTCTGAGGCTTATCCAGGGCCACCTGGCTAGTTAACTATAGAACTACAGCTTGAAATCCTAGCCTAGTCCACTCTTACTCTATCTTTTCCCTTTACCAACAAAAGCTCAAATATCTTGAGATCACATAGGGACAGAACTAGAATGGGCCACCTTTGGCATTGCCTTTTGTTCCAAATCATCACTATCAGTGTCAAAAGCATTGTTTAAGTAAAGATCTAGTAGTCTGTTACTGACATCACCAGTATGAACTTACATAATTTGGACATGAATTCTAATGAGTGTGATTACATAAATGAAGTGCCTACATCAGTCACTTTGCACTATGTGCAAGTAGAGGCATGTGCATAAAAGAATAAAGACATTTCAGACCATAAATCAAATAATAAGACAATCAAAGAGAGAGAGAGAGAGATGTACATGTAGCAAATAGTCATCCAAGTCTGAGGACAACTAATTTAAACTTGGAAGCACAGATGGCTATGCGTGTATACGTAAGCTGATAAATAATAAGACAATCAAAGAGAGAGAGAGAGAGATGTACATGTAGCAAATAGTCATCCAAGTCTAAGAGGACAACTAATTTAAACTTGGAAGCACAGATGGCTATGCGTGTATACGTAAGCTGATAAATATTTTATGAACCTGTTTAATTTTATTCTATGTGAAGAAGGAAAAATTACCCATGAAGATAAAATAAGAACTTTAGTATTCAGAAAATAAGAAAATTTAAGATTTTAATTTGCATTAAAATTGACATAATTGTCAACTTATCAAAGTTGGCTGATGTTATTTAAGTAGAGTCATGTGTTGCTTAACAACGAGGACACATTCTGAGAAATGCGTGCTTGGGCTGCTTTGTTGGGTGCAAAAGTGTGTTATGAAAGGCAATAGCAATGAATTTTCCTGTTACACACTGGCCAGTAGTTGCATGTGCATGGGCTCTCTAATCATGCCACATTTCTCATCTGTTAAATGGGGGTTAGACTAATACCGCCCCCACCCAGTTATGAAAATTAAATTACAGATAGAGATTGTGCCTGGCACTGAGCAAACACTCAGTGAGTTTAGCTACTTGCTATTGACTATTATTTTGCTATAGGTATGGGTGAGAATCATTTAAAAATGCAAGAATTCTAATTTTGACAACAACTGTTTTACTTGGGGTCAGACTGACTGTGTCAGATGCTTGGCTTTCTGTCTTAAAGATCTGAACTACCTTTGGGAGGGTCAACCCATGGGTGAGCTTGGCACTTCTCCTCAGCATATTTTGCAGTGGGTTTGTTTATACCAGCATCACCACAAATACATGAGTAATGCGTAGCGCTATGACATTACGATCATTGTGACATAATAAGGCAATAGGAATTTTTCAGCTCCAGTATAATCTTTTTTTAAATTAATTGTTTTTTGAAACGTATTGATTGTACATATTTAAGGGATACAGAGTTATATTTCAATACATGTATGCAATATGTGATGATCTAATCAGGAAAGTTAGCATATTCATCATTGTAAAACTTAATCATTTCTTTGTGGTGTGAACATCTGATCTCCTCTCTTCTAGTCCTTTGGTAACACACAGTAAATCATTGTTAATTATAGATTCCTGGGTCGACTGTACACCAACAGAACTTATTTTTTCTATCTAGCTGTAATTTTTTTTTTTTAAAAGATGACCGGTAAGGGGATCTTAACCCTTGACTTGGTGTTGTCAGCACCATGCTCAGCCAGTGAGCGAACCAGCCATCCCTATGTGGGATCCGAACCCGGGGCCTTGGTGTTATCAGCACCACACTCTACCGAGTGAGCCACGGGCCGGCCCTATCTAGCTGTAATTTTGTATCCATTAACCAGCCTCTCACTTTCACCCCCCCTCCTTTCCCCTTTCCTGCTTCTAGTAACTACACTTCTCACCTGTTAATTGTTCAATTTATTGTTATTATTTATTTGTTTTATTTATTTATTTATTTT